TAATTATTAATTAAACCATATTCAATCAATACATGAATGATGGAAAATTTAATTCCCAATGTGGATTATGTTAACCCCACAAGACTACATAAGATAACCTGTAACCGACATCATCTTGCCTGTGTTCATTTCATATGCAGTAGATTTCAGTTTCACCCAACCGCACTATTTGTTTAGCTAAATGATACAAAAACAATTAGTCCTATGATTTGGAGCTTGATTCCTCATATGAATGAGTCTTTTGATATCCATAAAGAAACTAACGATCAGAAAAAGCCCTTTTAAACTGGATTCAACAGACTTTCAATTCCTTCTAGTTTTTATTGCGTAAATGTCCAATAAGAAATATGGCCAAAAAGTGTGTGTGTGTCTATATATATATATATATATATATATATATATATATATATATATATATATATATATATATATATATATATATATATATATATATATATATATATATATAGAAAGAGAGAGAGAGATATTGATAGTAAACTAAACAAGTTGATATTGCCTATTTTACAATTTTTTAATTACAAGAATGTTATTGCTTATTCAGTATATATTGAGAGAGAGAGAGAGAGAGAGAGAGAGAGAGAGAGAGAGAGAGAGAGAGAGAGAGAGAGAGAGAGAGAGAGAGAGAGAGAGAGAGAGTAATGCCTTATTTATGATATCTATCTAAAATAATTACTGTCAATCACAGGGATATTATTTATTTATGTCGTCCTCTTTTTTATTCTTCAATTGATTACCAATGAGTTTATCGCCCATTGGTGATCATAAATCATGTCACGTGTCACTGTTTACCTCGTGTCAGTAAGTAATGTAGTATGTAGTACGAATCGAGTTTGAATCACTGGATTGATGTAATGTAGTATGAAAATCGGGTCTGAATCAATGGATGGATGTAATGTATCATGAATCTAGTCTGAATCACTGGATGGATGTAATGTAGTATAAAAATCGAGTCTGAATCAATGGATGGATGTAATGTATCATGAATCAAGTCTGAATCACTGGATGGATGTAATGTATGAATCGAGTTTGAATCACTGGATTGATGTAATGTAGTATGAAAATCGGGTCTGAATCAATGGATGGATGTAATGTATCATGAATATAGCTGAATCGCTGGATGGATGTAATGTATGAATCGAGTTTGAACCACTGGATGGATGTAATATAGTATGAATCGAGTTTGAATCACTGGATGGATGTAATGTAGTATGAAAATCGGGTCTGAATCAATGGATGGATGTAATGTATCATGAATCAAGTCTGAATCACTGGATGGATGTAATGTATGAATCGAGTTTGAATCACTGGATGGATATAATGTAGTATGAATCGAGTTTGAATCACTGGATGAATGTAATGTAGTATAAAAATCGAGTCTGAATCAATAGATGGATGTAATGTATCATGAATCTAGTCTGAATCGCTGGATGGATGTAACATGTAATGTAGCATGAATCGATTCTAATCACTGGATGGATGTAATGCTTTCAGTACCGGATTTACCATTGTGCTTAGGTGGGTTTAAGCACAGGGCCCGTGTTAGCCTGGGGGTGGGCATCTTCTTGGCTAAAAAAGTAAAAAATAAATTTACGATGAATTTTCCTTGTAAGTGGCCTCATAACTTAACTAGCACAGGGCCTAATTTGTCTTAAATCCTGCACTGAATGCCATCTATAAATTGTATTTTAAAGCAAATCGAAAAAGACAAATGAAATTCGACATTGCACTGAGAGAGAGAGAGAGAGAGAGAGAGAGAGAGAGAGAGAGAGAGAGAGAGAGAGAGAGAGAGAGAGAGAGAGAGAGAGAGATTTAACGTAGCTATAACAATTTTCAGTCATATCGCTACGGTGTCTGCAGTGTGACAATTTATAGTGATGTCTAGCACTGGTACATTATGCCGCAAACATGTGGCATGATGTCCCACCCAGCCACATTATCCAGACACCAGGTCTACCAGTCCTAATACTAACCTATTCATGCTGAGCGCCAAGCGAGGCAGCTGTTAGCACCATTTTTAAAGTCTTTGGTATGACTCATCCGGGGATAGAACCCACGACCTATCGCATCAAAGGCGGGCGCTCTAATAACTAGGACACCGGAGTGGTCTGAGAGAGAGAGAGAGAGAGAGAGAGAGAGAGAGAGAGAGAGAGAGAGAGAGAGAGAGAGAGAGAGAGAGAGAGAGAGAGAGAGAGAGAGAGAGAGAGAGGCTAAGTTGGGGCTCATAAGGGTATATGTATTATGTATAGGTTATCAGTAATAAAAGGTTTTTAAAATACCGTTACATCTGTGCTAGAGAATATTTTTAAACTGCGCAAGTGAACGTTGCGTAATTATATCAACGATATAAAATTTTTTCAACATGAACTAAACATACAGAGGACAAGAATATAATTATCATTTTAAAAAGGTGATATCAAGAAGAAGATATAATTGGCACTTTAGAAAAGTACCATTGTTGACAAGTCTATAATAGGTACTAAAGAAGAAAAAAAGTAGAATTGGTACTTTAGAAAAGTATCACAAAAGACTATAATAAAAATTTTACTTCAGAGATGTACTATGGAGGACAAGAATAGAATTGGTACTTTATAACTGCACCATAGAGGACAAGAATAGAATTGGTACTTTATAACTGCACCATAGAGGACAAGAATAGAATTGGTACTTTATAACTGTACCATAGAGGACAAAAATAGAATTGGTACATTATAACTGTACCATAGATTACAAGAATAGAATTGGTACTTTATAACTGTACCATAGAGGACAAGAATAGAATTGGTACTTTATAACTGTACCATAGAGGACAAGAATAGAATTGGTAATTTATAACTGTACCATAGAGGACAAGAATAGAAATTATACTTTAGAGAATTACTGCTGGGGTAAAGAATAGAATTATAATTTTACTACCAAAGAGAAATAGAGTGAAATATTGCGTGAAATATAAATTCAAAACAAACACAAACTAGTTTTCCTACTCTTCTTTCATGCTGAAGGATTGTAAATGAATCAACAGGAAGTTACGCTTAAAATACAAACCCTTGACAGAGTCAGTTTAACAAGAAAAGTATGACATTATGGTCACAATTTGCATTTTATAGGTGACAAATGTGAATGTACTCATGTGATTTGCATCAACATACATGCAACAAGGTCTAGGAAAAATAAATGAGAGAGAGAGAGAGAGAGAGAGAGAGAGAGAGAGAGAGAGAGAGAGAGAGAGAGAGAGAGAGAGAGAGAGAGAGAGAGAGAGAGAGTAAACGTTCACTAGGAATGTAATGACTGCCCTACACACGCACACACACACAAACAAACATATATATATATATTGCGGATAAAAACTGCTATATTAATTGGATAAGTATATTATTGTACATCAAAATCATTTTATTCCATCTGCAACTGAATTAAATTGTCTGTTATTATCACATAAAGTAACGCGAAAGCATTTTTTGGTGTACCTGATATTCACATCTCAAGACTACACAGAGGTTGTCATGTTACCATATTACTTATAGTTTGGCTTTATGTTTGGTTAGGGAAACCCTACATACATCTAAGCTTCTCTTTCCTTCTGCGCGATTTTCGACCTTTCTACATTGACCAAAATTTTAATTTCACGATTTTCAACATTTCTAATCTGACAGAAGAAAAGCAAATTCATAGTAAAATTTACGAAAATTTATTAAACCTTCCTCACTGCAGAATTTATGTCTGGGTAAGAAAGGATATGCCTGAATCAAATAAGATCAAACCATTTGAAGCAAATTATTTAATTATTTTCATTTTAGAGCGTGCAGTTTGCTTTAAAACATGTTTTCTATGCCGATGACACCCCCGCTTTACTATGCATGCTAAGGAAGCGGAAAGGATGCATGAGATCATCGATAAAAATAGATTCATAACTGCTTTTTATTTCAATAGAGACGGGTACATTACTATGCTTCATATAACACGACTTTACTTTGTAAGAGCTGCTGAAGAGGGTCAAGTAATGTCGCGTACATGATTCAATGTACAGCCTGAGTATAGTGTACGTTTTTATGAAGAAAGTTACTGAAGGAAATAAAAATACATAAAAAATACCTGTTTGTAAAAACCAAGTTGATAAAGAGGATGATCTATCGTCTGAAAAAAGATTTCTCAAGCTCGTGTATATTGTAGATTATATTTCCTTGTACGTCATTTTATTTTATATACATCTGATTGGGGATGAACGCTTTTATGTAGAGAACTTGTTTGCTTGGATTTTCTGAGCGCCATTTACGAGTCTTTGTATATTTGCTCAACATAGTGCACTTATATAGATGTCACCTCGTGATAATGAGCTATACATACACACGTATCACCTCGTGATAATGAGCTATACATACACACGTATCACCTCGTGACACTGAACTATACATACACATATATCACTTGGTGATACTGAACTATGCATACACATCTATCACCTCGTGATACGCATATCAAATAGTGATGGTGAAATATATATAAACACCTAGTGATACTGAACAATACATACACACGTATCGCCTCGTGATATTAAACTATGCATACACAGGTATCACCCAGTGATCCTGAAATATACATTATATCACCTCACCACGTGATTCTGAAATACACATAAATAACTCGTGAAACTGAACTATAAATATACACGTATCACCTCGTGATACTGAACTATACACGAACATGCATCACCTAGTGATGCTGAACTAAGTGTTTTCTTGTGCACTGCAAGTGAATAGTAGTTTATGATGCTGTTGGATTCATGCAACAGTCTTGCTATATTTTAAAATATTCCCTGGTCTCATTTTGCTTTAAGTGTAGCTACTTTGTTCATAAAATATATGTGGGTGGTAAGTGATATTATAGTGAAGAAATGAAATATAATAATGAACATGGGGTGGAGTAGGAATATTTTCTCTATTGTTAATATTTATTTCACCAAATTGTTCAAAGTCTGTTCGACCGCTCCGGTGGCCGAAGTGGTTAGTGCGTCCACCTCAAATGCGGGAGGTCGCGGGATCGAACTCCCGTCGAGTCATACCAAAGACCTATAAAAATTGTTCTAACAGCTGCCTCGCAGTGCTAGACATCACTATAAACTGCCAAATTACAGACATCGTAGCGATATGACTGAATTTTTTTTAAAAGGTGCGTTAAAATATTACAAATTACACCCCCACACCCAACACACAAACACATACACACACCACATCTGTTCGTCTGGTTCGTATGATTCCTGCGATAAACTGTCATGCGAAGCAGGGAGCAAAACTAGATTTGCATCCATGATTTAAAATAGACGTCATCACCTTTTTAAGCGAATCATTCATGAGTTCGAAAGCTTATTTATTCTGTATTTTTCTCTCTTATTTCTTTAAACATCAGTGATATAAATAATCCTGAAAAACGTTAATTTTTCGTTTGGGGATAAATCGGTGATACTAAAATTATTACAAGACTATTTTCAGAGCTATTGCTGAAGCCATTATAAATGAGTACCACTATAGATGCACTGTCTTACCTGTTTGATCGATAAGCTTTTTTATTATCTAGGAAGTTGATAATGTCGAAGTTCACCAAAGACTGTTCTTAACACATAGGTGGCGCCTTGTAAACAAGCAAAACCAATTGACCGCGTGACCTGAAATGACACCGACACACTGCGAGGACATTGTTAATATGTCTTGCGACGTCCTCCTAACCTAGATATGACATATCTAAATGACAGTATGCTTAAATAAATAAATAAATTATTTTATCTATATCATTTTGAAATGCGTATCGAACTGTATATACATTATATATCAAGCTAAGATTATTAAAATCAAGCAAATTTGTATATATAAATGTGTCAGCAATGTTTTTATATTTGAAATGCAAATTTTGCAACATTTCATTCACACTAGTACACTCATTGAATAGGTGGATACATGAAAAATACCTTTATTATTACGATACCGTTTTGATTTTATTAGTATAAGCAGACTTATTTCCTAATTTGTGTTTGTTTTGTGTATGTAAGCTGTTTATTTTTCTCACAATGTTAGCACAAATGTTTGGGACTTGTTTTAAATACAGAAGCCCAGAAGCCGTTGTCAAGTCTCTCTCTCTCTCTCATAATATATATATATATATATATATATATATATATATATATATATATATATATATATATATATATAAAATGCTTATTTTTCTACTTAAACTTTACATTGACAGAATCGTTTAGTATTTTAGGATATTGCACTAATGCTTAACTTCAGTTTCAACTCACATGTGCCCTATAGTGTATTAGAAACTATTTTGTAAATAAATCATAAACACTCTCGTCGTAGACGCTTTACGTTTTGGTTGACTAAATCTGTTTCTGAATGAACTAAAGGAGATATTTCGTGGATTGCCACCTAGCAGCTGCTTTGGCACATTCCGCTTTAACTTTTTTGATACAATGTTTGATTTAGGCTAGCTATAGACACCAGACAAGGTCCTTACAAATAACATTCAAGTGACAAGGCATAAACTGTCTTCATTAGCAGGTAATAAGAATGGAAAAATATACTTACAGTTTTACTTCCTTAGTTTCCTCAAAATGTACTGTCTTAGTTCTGTAAATCCAAATTGCATGAGCCATGCCATGGGTTCTCAAGCTTGATTATACATTTAATTTCGACTATATTCTAAGTGCAATTACATCCTCCTTACTGATCTCAAAATGAAAAAAAAAATAAATTTCATAGTCTTTTCGATAATTGCAGTTGAAAGACTTCATATTTTCCCCACATTATGATTTCAAATATTCAATGACAGAACAGAAACACTTGCAGATGTCAACACACTTCACCATCTCTGCTTCAATCCGACGTATTTCGAGTAGAATTGGCACAGGCGCTGCTGAAATCCGATGTACTTCATGTGGGTAGATCCAGTCCATAATCACAAAATTTTGTCGAATCGACAAAAATACCAAAATTTATTCATTCCAGATCAAATGGAAAAGTTTTTCCAATGATCATTCATTCACAATATAACTCCAAATTTCAATTTTAAGAAGACCAAAACGCCATTTTCTCTCGAAAGATGTCTAGCGTGCGACTAAGTTCAAACTGATCTGGCCGGCGTTATGCACACATTAATAATGTTGTTGTGTAATGACGAATCTGCGCTTATGTATTTCGTTTGAAATACAGCATAATTCCAATTACTTTGTTTCTTGTAGTTTATTTTTGTTTATAAAATTAGGCCTTTGGTAGAAAAAGAGAATGAACATATAATAAAAAGGTTATTGCATTTGTATGGGAAAATATGAACTCGTTTTAATGGATGGAGATACTGCACTCCCAAGACCGTGCATGTATGTGTGTATGTATGTATGCATGTATGTACATATAATCAAAGTTTTAATTCGTACTCCACGGAGAATTGAAGCCAGATTAATGAGCAAACTGCACCCATCGCCTTGCCTGCACGCTCCAAACACTATACTATCTCGACCATGCCCACATCACCAAAATGATGTAACAAAGTTGGTGGTGATCGTGCGTAACAGACATACCCTCACGTAGACCTAGTAATTAATTCTAATCTAAATAGTCATTCTAGATTCCTAAGACAAAAATCAAGGTATATATATATATATATATATATATATATATATATATATATATATATATATATATGTATATGTATATGTATGTATGTATGTATGTATGTATGTATGTATGTATGTATGTATGTATGTATGTATGTAAAACTCTACCTGTATTAAAGGACCAAGGTGAAACACATACTATAAATTAAATATACATTTACCCACCCACCCACCCATCCATCCATCCATCCATCCATCCATCCATCCATCCATCCATCCATCCATCCATCCATCCATTTGTACAAGTCTAACAGATCTTTAAATTCGTGACTTTTGAATGTTTTTTGTGTAATTTAGTTTTTACGTCAATAAAATTATTAGTAAATGTGTTAGAAACAAAAATAGGTGAACTTCTACGCCTACATACTCAAAATTATTTAACTACGGCCAAATTAATAAATTATACAGGTTACTCTAAACTGTTGTTTGTGCAGAGGCTTAAACTAAATTCACATCGCCATATAAAGGACACTGAATGGCCTTTAATGTGTCTTTTATACAAGTTTACAGCCTGCTTCAAAATCACTCTGACATTCTCTAAACTCGAAAATTTTGAGCCACTCTATGTTTAATGTTCATTTTCTAAAATCGTAATTAGTGGTGACCAACTAGAGCAAACCGTCTGTCATGTTTCCGGTTTAGAATAGGTGTAATAACGTAGAAGCATGCTGAAGTCCAGTCTTTAAACAAATTTAAATATATCAGTAGAAAAAAAAATATGGTCGAAGTTGCGATCCTCACTTTATATCCAGTAATGAGGCGCCATGCAAATTTATAGTGACAGAACTGCTTTAAAAGGCGTTTGTTGTTTTTTTTACCAACCTGACTGCAAGTTTGTTGAGGCCAAAATATTAATGTTTTACAGCAGAAGTGAACGAAATATCAGTACAACATACAAGTAAGTAAGATCAAATCATCAAAATCATTTGTTTTAAAAGGACACGCTGTCAAATCTGATCGCTCAGTGATGTTTCTACCATACCCCCAACACAACAATATTACCGTAACTATCCGCACATGAATTGTGTTAACGAAAGTAAAAATATCTTCGTTTTTGTCTAGAAACAGTCAATAATTTAATAAAATACATAATGTTAAGCATTAGAAGCGAAATATGTAAAAAGGTCCTATTATTGTAAATGTCGGAACTCAATGTTACCGACATCTTTTTGCGGTCGTTATTAGCAACGGAAGAAAAAGGAGAAAATACATGCCAATTGGCTTATTGGCCTAAAAATATATACTATCAAGAAAATCTACGTTTTTTCTTATTTTAGTTGTTGTTGTTGTTGTTGAGCTTAACGCCATTTTTCAGCACACGATAGGCTATTCATGGCGGCCAGTATTAATGGTGGAGGAAGAAACCGGGAAATCACCGGAAAGAACCACCGACCCACGAGAAGCTACTGGCAAGCTTTCTCACATATCCACATCTTATTTTAGTCGATATAAGCTAATATTTCACTCGTGAAGTGGAAACATTTTTTATTGTTATATGTGGCTTTACTAATAACGATTCAATGGTTCACGCTTCACGTTTGATGTATTTCATTATATCTACTCAGAAAACGTGTAGATATCCTTTATTAATGATATATTTTCTAATGAAATATTGAAATATATCAATCGGAAAAAAAATTTATATCGACACAGTGGCCATACCACTTTTGGAACTACTTTCTTTTCCCAATAGGGGAATATCTCTGACCTTAATTAAGTATGTTCTTGAAATAAATATTTCTATTATTGGACCTATTTTTTTCTTCCTCTTCCTTATTCTTATTCATTTTACTCGACAAGTTTTAACTTACCTGAAGACTTTATAGTCTGATATACATTTATATTATCAATAAGTAGGCGCCATATTTTGTAAAAAGGCCTAAAACAAACTCCAAAGAACAGAAAGTAGACTTGAAGTATTAACTTTTTTTAGCTAGTTGTTCACAAGAATAAAGACAAATGCTAAGTAAGTGAGCTTACATGAACTGTTGCTTTTAGATATTGTGTCACCTATACAGAGTACATTTTGTACCCTACGACAAATGGACACGTTTTCAGGAAGAAAACTCTTGTTTAAATATAGTAATACAATTGTGATAAATATCCTTATATATACTCAGTAACCTTAGATATCCTCTACACATGATATAACTGTATGAGTTTCGTGTATGACGCGTAAAATAAATATACTAGGTCATCAAGAAGTCAAATTATGATGCGTGCATTTGGCACTATAATTCCTACACCAAACTGCTCTCTAGCTGACATTGGTAAACATCATTACTTTCACATACCTATAGATCCTGGGGTCGACTTTTCATTTAAATCGTTTTTGCATTGAGTTTTGCACGAAAAATGATATGATGATTAAATTAAATGATGATTATAAA